CCTCCCCCTCCTGCCTCCCCTGCGCACTCACCCATGAAGTTGTAGTTCCAGGAGCCCTGCGAGGGCACCATGAAGAATCCGAGGAAGCGATCGGAGAGCAACATCTGCACCTTCTCGTAGTGCGACGGCAGGTAGCCCTTCGGGTTGTTGCCTTTGTCCGTGTTCTGGCGACCCCACTCGTAGCCACTCGGCGTTAGCTTGTACGCGGTCAGCGAACACGACCCGGGCGTGAAGCTACAATACAAGGTCATAGGTGAAACAGAGGTCACGGCTTGTACGCGGTCAGCGAACACGACCCGGGCGCGAAGCTACAATACAAGGTCATAGGTGAAACAGAGGTCACGGCTCGTACGCGGTCAGCGAACACGACCCGGGCGTGAAGCTACAATACAAGGTCATAGGTGAAACAGAGGTCACGGCTTGTACGCGGTCAGCGAACACGACCCGGGCGCGAAGCTACAGCAGACAGGTCATAGGTCATAGGTCACACACAAGCCCGGCGTGAAGCTACGGCAGATGTTAAAGATAACACATACACACAGCCAGGGCATATACACAGGCCTGCATGAGAACAGGTTGAGCTGTTTTTGGAGGAAATATTTCATTGAATTGTCATTTTCTATGAACCATTCTCACCGAGTTTCGGTACGCATGAGAATAGGGTAAAACCCTTTACATTACATAGATACCCCGCAATATTTAACTGCAGTTCCGTCACTTCTGTGTGAAATTTGACGTACTTTTCATGACTTTTTATGAAGTTAAAATTAAAAATGGCATCCATTTTGACAAGAAAAGTACACCTTATCCCCCCGTTTTTTTTGCATTTATCTCAAGAACGACCAACATGAAAACCAATAAACCCGGAAATCCGCGAATCTTCGGAAAATTCCCATGCCTGATACACAGCTAGATTTCACCTACTCGCCTTCATCCACACACGATTCACACACGCACGCACGCACGCACACACACACACACACACACACGGCGCGCGCGTGCGCACATGGCCGCGTGAGTGAGCAGCAGACTGCTATACCTGCACGTGATCACGATCGTCTTCTCTCCGTCCCACGACGGCGTGTCGGCCATGATCTTCGCGTGAGTGGTGACATCTTGTGGCGAAAGCTGCGGCAGCTCGTTCGGCTGCGTGTGGATCCAGCCGAGTGGCTCCATCTCCTGGACACGCAAAACATTAATTAATTACCACATTATCACTATAATATATTCATTACTTCTTATATTACTTACTATCATATACATTATCTTTACATTACTTTACAGAAAATGGTACGAATTGATCATCATTCACAAACCATTTTCATTCTTCATTCATTATCATAATATTCCATCACACGTCATTACTATAAGTCCACCATTTTTTACACGTTTTTGACCTTTTTTTAACGTTTTTTATCTTTGCCCACGGCCGGCTGCATGAACGAAGCCGACCGCTAGACTGGGGCGACGTACCTTCAGGTATTCGTGCTGAGGCAGCATGTTGGGCAGGTGGACAGTCTGGTGGGTGCCCCACTGCGGCACGCACACTATGCAGCGGATCTCCTTCACCTGGGGGTTGTCTGGCGGACTCACGCCGTACAGGTAGCCCGCGATCTGAGGACACGCAACGACGACATGTAACAATGTAGAATGACATGGCATGGGGGCAGACTCACGCCGTACAGGTAGCCCGCGATCTGAGGACACGCAACGACGACATGTAACAATGTAGAATGACATGGCATGGGGGCGGACTCACGCCGTACAGGTAGCCAGCGATCTGAGGACACACAACGACGACATGTAACAATGTAGAATGACATGGCATGGGGGCGGACTCACGCCGTACAGGTAGCCAGCGATCTGAGGACACACAACGACGACATGTAACAATGTAGAATGACATGGCATGGGGGCGGACTCACGCCGTACAGGTAGCCAGCTTTCTGAGGACACGCAACGACGACATGTAACAATGTAGAATGACATGGCATGGGGGC